GGTGCACACAGATCCCTACTGGCCCAGAGAATTCCTGCCCCACGCCCTGCAACATGGACCCCCTTGGCCGGCCCTGGGGACCGGAGAGCCCCCCCCCCCCCCCGAATGCCCCATCCCAGTCTCCTAGCCAAGCGTGAAGCCATGCAGCAGATGTTCAGCGTGCACTGAGGCCGGAAGGCTGCAGGGCTGGGCAGCACCCTTGGGGGCGGGCGCGGGCGCGCAGTGGGGCGCATCTCCTGCTGATGGGCACCGTGGAGAAAAGCCAGGACCCGGACGGATGCTTTGCAAACGCAGAGCCCGCTGCAGCACACGGCTTCTCCTCCGCACCCTGGCACTAGGAGACGTGAACCCCGACCACCATGGAGACGGGGCCAGCGTGGGTCTGTGTCCTGCTCCCCCTCTGCCTCTTGCCGGGTAGGTGCCAGTCAGGGATCCAGGGGGCTGGGGAGCCCTTGGCAATGGGGCCGAATCGTGCCAGCAGCGCTGGGCCGAGAGAGATGGACTAGCTGGGTAGAGCTCTCAGTTCCCTGCCCCCCAAGCAGCCAGGCCCTGCCCTGGGGCAGATCAGCCAGTGCCCCCTAGAGGGGAAAGGCCCCGTGCCCCATCCCCCCCACCCCCCAGAGCCAGCCAGTCCCTCCTGCTCTGACACCGGGTCAGGGCCAGTGCCCCCTAGAGGGGAAAGGCCCCGTGCCCCAGCCCTGGAGCCAGCCAGTCCCCCCTGGTCTGGGACCAGATTGGGGCCAGTGCCCCCTAGAGGGGAAAGGCCCCGTGCCCCATCCCCCCCACCCCCGGAGCCAGCCAAGCCCTAAACCCCCAGAACAGGGTCAGGGTTAGAATCTGGCCTTTTCTAGGCTAGTTTCATTTCCTGTCAACAGAGACTGAAAGGAGGAACTGAAAGTGTCTGGGGGGGAGGCTCCGGTATCAGGGTCTGCAGCTGAGTGATCCAAATGGGGGGGGTGGCCTTTGGGTGCTGGGGGGGCGTCTCTGAGCCCCTGGCCCCATCCCCCTGCGCAGGTTGGCCTGTCTCTGGTGCTGGCGGATTGTTCCTGGTGGTTTGGGGCTGAGGGTTAGTTCCTTTTTTTAAATCTCCGGGGTGGGGTCGGATGCAAATTTGTGATAAAACAGACAGAGGGACAGACAGCAACTCACTGATCCATCCGTCACAGAGCTACACCCACCCAGCTCTGCAATGCCTGGCAGCAAGGGGGGGGGCAGCCCGCCCTGCTCTAAACACCAGCCCCCACTCCCCACCCAGAGCTGGGGAGAGAACCCAGGAGTCCTGGCTGCCAGCCCCCCCGTTCTAACCCACCAGACCCCACTCCCCTCCCAGAGCTGGGGGAGAGAACCCAGGAGTCCTGGCTCCCAGCCCCCCCTGCCCTAACCCACTAGACCCCACTCCCCTCCCAGAGCTGGGGAGAGAACCCAGGAGTCCTGGCTCCCAGCCCCCTGCTTTAACCACTAGAAGTGAGCCCATCTCACCCTGTGCCCACAATCTCCTTGCTCTGGGGGTGATCGGGAGCTGTGGCCGGCTGGGCGGGACTGTAGAAGCGGAATAGGTCCCTCACCTGCAGTCTCTGCTGCCAGGTTCTCGGGGGCCTGGAGTCAGCGAGGGCCTGGGGGGCCAGGGCAGCCTCCCTCCCACCCTGCTGGCCCCCCACCCCGGATAGCCTGGTATTCCCCCTAGGTCAGACCAGTCCCCCATCCGGCCCTGCATCCGCCTGCCCCCTGCTGCCCCTGATCGTTCCCCCAGGCCCGTCCTGCCTGGTATCCGCCCCAGGATCTTCCCCCCAGGGGGGTATCCCCCCCAATCACCCCCCCAAGCTGGTTCTGCCCATTCCCCCCCCCCCCGGATCCCCCAGGCTCGTCCCGCTCGTTTCCCCTGCACCCCGATTGTCACCCCAGGCTCGTCCCACCTGGTATCTCCCCCCTCCCGGAACTCCCCGGCCCATCCTGCCCGGCGCTCTTGGCACCAGCTGCTGAGCCGTGGTGTGTCCCCACCCCCACAGGACACCTCTGCAGCAAGCCCACCACGAACATGACAACGCCGTGCAGCGGGACCACCTGGAACGTGAGCGAGGTCCCCCCGGCCCCCAGGATCCCTCGGCCCAGCTCCACTGTGGTCAAGATGGAGACCGCCCTGGCCGCCCAGCGCCACGCGGAGAACAGCCTTGTGAAGGTGGAGGCCGGCCTCACCTCTGTGACTGTCCCTGAGGGGGGCCGGGTGACCCTGGAGTGCCGGTTCAAAGCTCCATCCGGGGCCCAGGTCATCTGGAGCCGATCCTGTTCTCGGAACTGCAGTGAGCCCATCCTGGTGGCCAATGGCACCAGCCCCCAGCGCAGTGTGGCAATCACCACGGGCGCTGGTGTCTCCGTCCTCGCCTTCCACCCCGCCAGGAAGGGCGACATCGGCCTGTATTTCTGCCAGGTGCACACGGACAAGGCCTGGGACCAGTCATGCGGCACCTACCTGCGAGTCCGCAGTGAGTGAGGGACGGGGGTCACCGGGGGCATGCGGCAGAACAGAATCCACCAACCCCCAGTGGGGCAGTTCCCTCTGCCTCCCTCAGACCCCCGGGCTTCTGTGCTGGTAAACAGCTGCCTTGGGCGGGGGCTGTCTGTGCAACTGGCCTGCCCTATGCCAGAGAGGGCTGCGTGGTGTGTGTGGGACCTCGCCCCGCCCCAGAGGGGGCTGCGTGGTGTGTGTGGGACCTCGCCCCGCCCCAGAGGGGGCTGCGTGGTGTGTGGGGGACCTGGCCCCGCCCCAGAGGGGGCTGCGTGGTGTGTGTGGGACCTGGCCCCGCCCCAGAGGGGGCTGCGTGGTGTGTGTGGGACCTCGCCCCGCCCCAGAGGAGGTTGCAGGGGAGGGGGAGGCTCTGGGGAGTTTGGAGCGGAGCTGACCCCCTCCCCCCGGCATTGCAGAACCCGTCCCGGTTCCCTTCCTGAACATGCGGGAATCCACCAAGAACCAGCTGATCACCGCCGAGGGCATCCTGCTCCTATTCTGCGCCGTGGGGCCCGGAGTCTTCCTCCTCTTCAGGGTGAGCCCCTCGGCCCCGGGACCCCCAGACACTGACCGTGGGCCTGGGCCTGCCCCCCTGCCCTGGGGGAGCCTGCGTCGGGGGGGCAGTGTGACCCCCCAAGCAGGCTAATGGGCAGGCTCACTTTGGGGTGGGGTGGGGTGGGGTGAACGCCACTCGGCCCCTGCCTCACGCCTGCCCCCTTGGCTGTTGCAGAAGAGGTGGGAGAATGAGCGCCTCCTGCAGTCCAAGAAGAGCGAGTATGAAGAGGAGAATCTGTATGAGGTGAGCTGGGGGGGGCACCGCAGGGGGGGTTGTGTCAGTGAGGTTATGGGAACGGGGGGTCCCAGCCTTTGGCCCCCTCCCAGCACAGCCTGGATCTGCGCACGAAGAGGTCCTCCCAGTGCTGCAAAGTGCAGAGTGGGGTCACTTGGAGGCTGCCCTGGGGGCGCTGGGCTGCAGGGAGCGGGGTGTGGGGCTCAGTGGGGGGCACTGTCCCCCTGGCAGTCCATGTTGGCCCCAATGCAGCACTAGGGGTGCTGGGCTGCGGGGGCCGCGTGGGGGTCTCAGCGGGGGCACAGTCCCCTGGCTATCAGTGCCAGCCCCAATGCAGCCCTAGGGGGTCGCCCAGTGGTTCCGGACACCCCACCACTGCTGTGTGAGGTGCTTTGGGTCTGTGTGGGGCAGGAGGGGCTGGGGAAGCCTCTGTCGCTGTGACTGGGACCCCGCCCACCCCTCATGGCCCCTATGGGGTAGGTGCTGAGGGCTGAGCCCCTCCTTCGGCCTCCAGACGAGCAGCCCCTCTGCTTTGCCGCACTAGGGTCTGAACCTGGACGAGTGCTCGATGTACGAGGACATCTCACGGGGTCTGCAGGCCACCTACCAGGACGTGGCCAACCTCCGCGTGCTCGACATGCAGCTGGAGAAGCCGTGAGGGGGGCACCGGCCGTGACCCGGGGCCTCTTGGTGCCAGCTGGGTTCCTGGGTCTGGTCTCTCCACGGCGGTTTGTCCCAGGGTGCGACGGGAGGCCTCTGCCACAAGCCTGCGTCACCCTGATCGTCACCCTGCTGGGAAGTGTGTGTCCGGGGAGGGGAGGGGAGGGGAGTTGTGTGTTTATAGTGACCATGTCGCTCTCAGGGCCTGGGCGCTGGGCTGTTCTGCACAAGGGGAGAGCGAGTTCCTCTCGGGCAGGAGACTCTCATTTACCTGTCGGGCTAAACATCACAGCGCAATGGCTGCGCCCCGCACTGAGCGAAGTCGCCGGGGAGATCCGGCAGAGCCCACGGCAGCAGCCCATGGCTGAAGGCGCTTGTCTTATGGAGGGGGGGGGCGGGGGGACTCAGCCAGCTGAGTCGTTAATTTGGGTGAGCTAAACTTTCTTAGCGCAGCAGCAGTCAGGTAACGCGGGGCTCTAGACAGCGTGTTCTGATTTGAGTTTACATGTAGCCGTTTCCATCTCTCTGCCTCTTGCTGTCACTCCAATCTCTGGTCTCTGTTCAATAAACGTGCCCCTCTTCTCTGGCTAAACCGGCGGCTCTCAAACTTCTGTGCTAGCGCCGCCTTCCACACAGCAAGTCTCGGCGCGCGACCCCCCTGATCGATTCAAAACACTGCTTGGTGTATTTAACACCCTGAGAAATGCCCGAGGCAAAGCGGGGTTGGGGGTGGAGGCTGACAGCTTGTGCCCCCCTGAGGGGTCCTACCCCCAGTTTGAGAACCCCTGCTCCAAACAAAGGCCCGGCTGGGGGCTGAGCGGTGGCCAAGGGCAGCGGCTTCCCTGGGGGCTCTGCCGTTGGGGCTCCTCAGGGATTGGGAGGCGGAAAGACTCCATCATGCGCTGACCCGCTGCTAGCCAGGGTACTCCCCAGGGTCTGTTCACACGGGGCTCCGGCTTGAGTGTCTCCTGGCTTGGCCTCACTCCAGCCCCATGGGGGGTTTCTCTGGGTCAGACTCTGGGGGAGTTTGGCCCGGAGGGGGTTGTGCTGCCCTACCCAGACTAGGCAAGACACCCCCTCTCCCTGCCTCGTTCCCACACACAGCCGGGTCACCGGGGGGACAGTAGGGGCTGCTCCGCTCAGAGCGGTAGACAGGCCCTTAGGTGGGTGTGGGGGGGTTCGTTTTTAGAGCTCTGTGGGGCTCAGATACAGAGCAATCGCTCTCACCCGCCTGTCAGTCAGGCTAGCCCCAGGGGCTGTTTCTGTGCCCAAACCATAGGCCTAACCCATCGGGACCTGCTCCAGCTGCCCCTGGCTACGCTGTCTGAACCGCCGGCCTCTCCCTGCCGCATGGGGCAACACCCATGACACCCCGAGCTTCGCTACCTGGAATAGTTAATGCTCAATAACACAACAAGCTGTTTATTTCCCAGCGGGAGCAGTTGCTGCTGAACACCACAGGCTGCGGCTGTGGCAGGCAGAGGGTGGAGGACGCTGGAGGTTCTGAGGGGTTGTGGGAATAGAGCGGTGTCTGTTCCACCCTCTCCAGCTTGGCTCCTTCCCCAATTATTACAACAGTGACAGCTCAGGGAGGCTCCCGTCTCCGCTCAAAGTCCAACATTTTTGTGACCCCTCCCTCCCCCCAACTGTCCTAGTAACTGCAAGAGTAAAACGATGTGCGACAAGACTGATTAGAACAAGCACAGCTACTACGTTTTCATGCACTTTGCTTTAACGGTAATACAGTTTCCGTGCTGTGAGACACCCCCGTCTCTGGCGTAACATCTAGGAGTGCGAGTCAGAGCAGGAGCTGTGCTTGGAAGCGAGCTGGGGGGCGGCCAAGCTCCACTCTACATTAACAATGTTTTGGGGAAGTTAATAGAAGTTGATGAGACGGCTGCTGCATTTGCTGGAGCAGATCCTTTAGATCAGGCACAGAGGGCTGTGCGCTGAGAGCCAGCTGTTCTGGGTTCAGTCACTGCCCCCTGCTAGAGATCACTCTGCAGGATAAGATCAGTCTCACAGAAGCTCATTTTATTAACACAGGCTTAAAGAAATTCTATACAGAAGGAACGTGGATGGAAAATATCATCTTCCCAAGAGGGAGAGAAGGAACTCATAGGAACAAAACATGAACAACAGAGTGTTAATAGGCAGGCAAGGCATTTCCAGCCTCATGAGCACATTGGTGAGAGTCAACCCCAGCCGGGAGTCTGAACCGCGCTTGAGGCGTTGCCCCCCCAGTACCCATTCGGAGTTAGTCACCCCATCCTTGCCTTGCTCTCGTGTGAGAAGGACCTCCCCTTGCTGAAGTCTGACTAACCCAGGCCAGGTGCTTGGCTCCCCCTGCACTAGCCACGACACATGGTGTGCGACAAACGGGAGGTGGCTCCTGCCTTGCTCCCACCCTGGCCTGGCTCCACCTCACACAGTAGCAAGGCTGCAGCAAAGTGTGGACAGGAGCACGAGGGGATTACGGTCTACTCAAGCCCAGCAGCTACAGTAACTGCTTTAATTCCTGCTGCTCCTGGCCCCCCTAGCTCCTGTTGGTCACAGGCCAAGTCTCTGCTGGAGAGGCAGCCGCAGCAGGCCCCTCAGAACAGCAAAGGGGCTGGGGCAGTAGCCCAGCTTGAAGGACGCTGCTCTCCACTCAGCCCAGGAGCGGAAAGGTGAAGGGGGTTACACTGACCACCGCAGTCAGTATGAAGCAGAGGAGCAAACCAAAAGCCCGCCAAGAAGGTTAAGGAGTCTATCACTACAGCTCCCTGCTTTACCCAGAATCCCACAGGATTGACACAGAGCCCTCATGTCAGTCAGCTGCCAGCTCTGACAGTTGTTTCCCCTCTAGGCGTGAGTCCGTTGGTGGCAGGTCAGGTTTGATGGCTGCCTGAACCTCCTCCCACACTCCAGGCACTGGAAGGGCCTCTCTCCCGTGTGGGTGCGCTGGTGGGTGGCGAGGCTGGATGACCGGCTGAACCTCCTCCCACACTCCAGGCACTGGAAGGGCCTCTCTCCCGTGTAGGGTGCGCTGGTGGGTGGCGAGGCTGGATGACCGGCTGAATCTCCTCCCACACTCCAGGCACTGGAAGGGCCTCTCTCCCGTGTGGGTGCGCTGGTGGGTGGTGAGGTCTGATGACTGGCTGAACCTCCTCCCACACTCCAAGCACTGGAAGGGCCTCTCTCCCGTGTGGGTGCGCTGGTGGGTGGCGAGGCTGGCTGACTGGCTGAACCTCCTCCCACACTCCAAGCACTGGAAGGGCCTCTCTCCCGTGTGGGTGCGCTGGTGGGTGGCGAGGTTGGATGACTGCCTGAACCTCCTCCCACACTCCAAGCACTGGAAGGGCCTCTCTCCCGTGTGGGTGCGCTGGTGGGTGGCGAGGCTGGATGACTGGCTGAACCTCCTCCCACACTCCAGGCACTGGAAGGGCCTCTCTCCCGTGTGGGTGCGCTGGTGTCTGGTGAGGTCTGATGACTGGCTGAACCTCCTCCCACACTCACCACAAGGATAGGACTTCTCTCCTGTGTGGCTCTGCTGATGTCTAACTAGGTGTGATGGCCTGTGGAAGTTCTGCCCACACTCGCCCCAGGAATACCACTTCTGTCTGCGACCGCCCCTTCCCTCCTCCCCTGTTTCGCTCTGTGCATGTGGCTCCTCTGTTGTGTCTCTCCACTGCTGTGGAGGCAGGTTTGACAGTAAGCCAAACGCCTCTCTACCTCCCACACCTTCCCTCTGCCCTTGCAAATGTGGTTTCTTTCCCCATGTGTCTTTGTGGAGGGAGCTGGGGTTTGGTGGCAGCTGCTGTGATGGTGGATCCCCCGGGAAGGAAAGACCTCTGGTTTTAAGGCAAGATTCCCCTCCCAGAGCACCTTCGTCTTCTTCAGTCTGCAATTCGGTAGGCAGGTGCTTATACTTCAAGTGTTGTCTGAGGTAATCTTTGCTGCTGAAAGCCAGCCTGCAGCAAGGGCATGGATAGCAGTGTAGATCCTGCCCACGTACTGTCCAAAAAACAAACCAGAATTCAGATAGGAAATGGCAATTGTTCCAACATGCTAGCCCTTCCAGAGGCTTTGCACTACTATCCTGCCACGTAGGAAGGGCCAAGAACACCAGCCAATTAGTGACACTCAGACTTTAGTTTTAGGATACAAAGTGAACCGTTCCCTGTAGTACCAGACCTAATGGTTGACTCCTCCCCAGTTCTATCCCCGACAGTCAGCCAGATTCAGACCTAAAGCTGGGACAACCATGCCTGATTGTTCTAGGTCCCTGCTAGGAGTGTCATTCTCTCTCTCTCCTCTGCCAGCTGTTGGGGGTTCTGGTCCCAGCCGACTCCGTTCTCCCAAGGCCAGTGGAGTAAGCCATGGCAAAGAGTTGTATCTATAAGCCTCAGAAATACTATGTCTACACTGGCACTCGAACGACAAAAGTTTTGTCTTTCAGAGGTGTTACCCTCCCCCCCCCGGACAAAAGTTTTGCCGACGACAAGCACCAGTGAGAACAGCTCGCTCCTGCCGACAACGCTGCTCGTTGGGAGTGGAAGATTTTGTTGGCAGGAGAGCCGACAAACAGTGGCTACACTGCACGACTTTTAGTGGCACGGCTGTCGCAATGCAGGCACGTCCCTAAAAGCTGTGTAGTGTAGACATAGCCTGTATTGCACATCCCTGTAGTACTTAAGAGCTAAAGTCAGAGACCAGCTCCTCACACTGGTGACCCCCCAGAACCTCCTTCCCCCCCCCCCCACTGTGTGGGAGAGGCTGTAGGCACAACCCCTGCTGGTTGTTGCCCAGTGCTGGGAGTGCACTGATCAGTACTCTGCTAGCTTGGCCTAGACTGAGGATCACTGTGACCCCCCAGAGGCTCTACCACAGATTTCAGTGCAGTGGAGACATAGTGACTTTGACCAGCCCCTCCCTACACCCCATCCTCCAAAGCCTTCTCCCACCTTTAAGCTTGTTTTGAAGATACCAAAAAACACCTTGTATCGGATTAGTTTCTGAACTTTGGGATTCTATACAGTGAGGGCGATAGGTGGCTTTGCACCCACAGTAACATTTAAGCAGCTTCTCGCCACCCTGTGCGGATCATGTGATAGCCAGTCAGAAACTCTAGCCTGGTTGCTTAGTTTAACTTTAAATACTGTTTTTAGTCCCAGCCTTCACCTCTTAATATAAAGCAGATGCTGGGGTCGGAGAGGGTTGGGTAATAAGTCACGGGCAGAGCAGGAGGGGCTGTTTCAGCTGTCAAATTGGGAACTGCTCAGCAGGTCAGTGCTTGTGTCTCCTCATGGAGACCAGCATTTTTCAACCATTTCCTGCTTGCTGCCTTCCTAAACTATGTCAGGGAGACCACAGCGACTGGTGCCAATCCAGACTGGTCATTGAGAATCACTGAGCTAGGGGATCCCCCGCTATGTGCGTGTGTTGGAGGTGGTGCGAGTAGCTGAGCAGAAGGCAACTGAAGAGGGAGATTCAGGGCAGCAGGTGCTCTAAATCTGACCATCTCCTAGGGCAGGGGTAGTCAATAGGTGGACCGCGGGCCAAATCCGGACCACCAGACGCTTTTGAACGGATCATGAAATCTTTTTACTTATTGTCATTATTGTTACTGCCACATGAAAAAATGTTTCTCTGGAGTCTGGACCTCGACCAAGAAACATGGACTGTGACAAAAAACAATTGACTGCCCCTGTTCTAGGGATAGCAGGAAGCTCCCATAATTAGACTCATTCCGACCACTAGTGGCAGTGGTGGCTGCAGCATCTCCTTTCACCAGCTTCCCTCATCACATCTGCATTCGAGACGGGCTCTCTAGCATAAGGATTTACTCGTGCGCATTCATGACAGATGTCGGGATAAGAAATGAAAGTTCCTGGTTATTAGAAATTGTGTCATCTCAAAACAAGCCAAGGGAAGCTATTAGCCAGAGCGAGGCTGCAGCCTGGTACCTTTGGGTGGAGCTGTGCTTTTCCATCTCGTGCCCCACTTGATGCCCAGCTCCTTGCCATATTCATCCCCGTACCAGACCAGAAGCTCACTATGCGGCAGGATGGGCCTGCACACTCTATAGTAGATTTTCCCATGATACTGGAAAGCGACAAGGTTCTGCTCTTCCTCATCCCTAGCGCAGTTAACATACCTGGACATTCACAGTTAGGAAAGTGATTTGTTAAATACAATGGTCTTCAGTCAGGGAAGTGCCAATCTGAAATCTAGGCAATAGAACAGTGAAATAACCACAGTACTTCTAGATTTTCCTTAATGGGATTAATAGGTTATTGGTCCATGCCAGGAGATTTCAGAGCCTAGCCAGTAACATTTGAAAGCGACGTCCGGTGTTTTTGAAGCTCATCCACTCCCACTAAGTCTATGAAAGTGAGATGACTTAGACAGCCAAAAATCTGTAAAACTTTTATAGAAAGGAAATTCTGGCGAATGAAGCTTCCTCAATATGCTACTCTGTGTTGCATCCGAAGAAGTGAGGTTTTTACTCACGAAAGCTTATGCCCAAATAAATCTGTTAGTCTTTAAGGTGCCACCAGACTCCTTGTTGTTTTTGTAGATACAGACTAACACGGCTACCCCCTGATACTCTGTGTTGGGTATTGGAGGGCTAATGCTGTCTCTCTCCCTAACCAGGTGGGCACTTTGTTTTGGGGTTTGTGTTGCAATCTTAATGCTGAGAATATCATGTTGTGAATGCTAACAGGACTGGGTAAATAACTGCATGCTTAGTGATGGATTGGGTGTGCCGCAGCCTGTAAAAATGAATCCTATGTCTTCATACACCTGAAACACTGACTGACTATCCCAGAGCAAACATTCTATGATCATACTGATGAGGATAGGAGTACAGGGACTTACCTCATCCAGTTGGCATTAGTTTCATCCTTTCCATCAATGTATACATACCAGTTTCTTCCCTTGGTGATCTGGAGTTAAATCAAACAAGACACACAGGAATCAATAAAGCACTCTCCATGCAGATGATATGATAAATAAGTGACAAATCTCATGCTTTGGGTTCATCGTGTCTTGAACACAGTTCAGAAGTAATCCTGCAAGTGTGAATACACACAGAACAGACAGGGCCAAATAGTGCTCACAGTGACAATCCCAATGAAATCAAGGAGGCTGCACAGAGTAACTGAAGCTTTGTCTACACTGGCACTTTGTCAGCAAAACTTTTGTCATTCAGGGATGTTAAAAAACATTCCGTCCCCCCCCCGGAAAGACAAAAGTTTTACTGACAAAAAGTGCCGGTGAGAACAGCACTTTGTCAGCAGGAGAGCTCTCTCCAGACCACAAACAGCAGCTACAGTGGGTGACTTTTAGTGGCATGGCTGTAGCGGCACAGCTGTGTTGCTAAAAGGTGTGTAGTGTAGACAAAGCCTGAGAGCAGAACCTGGGCCTTCAGACAGGGTCTCCCAACAAAGCTGAACCTGCTACCACCATCAGGAAAGTTAAACCAGCTGCACCCCCCTAGGAGAGTGCCATGTGTTAAAGGCCGAAACACATTAATGAATACATTTCCCAAGCCCGTCAGCAAGCCCTTCATGCCACCTCCCCAACTGAGAAATGCTGATGTAGGGTGACCAGATGTCCTGATTTGATAGACCCAAAAATTGGGACTGTTCCTTTTTCTTATATAGGCTCCTATTACCCCCTACCCCGTCCCGATTTTTCACACTTGCTGTCTGGTCACCCTATGCTGATAGAACGTCATACTAATAAAACATGAATTAATAAAACAGAGTGAGAGTTCAGTGCCAAGAAGCATACTTCCCCTCCTTCCTTTTGCACTTTGATAAGCTAGAACATAGCACAGTGTTGTAATAGAAAAAAGTTTCATGGGCAATTCATACCAGCCAAGAATAACCATTGTGGGCTGCTTCCTCATCCTCGGTTATCCTTCCATCGTATGGGCCAAAATGAACTCCGATCGGCAGGGTGTCTGCCTCATTCCAGACTCCAAGCCCAGCCTGTGGGATACTCGAAAGCCCAATTCGCATCCCCGGGGGCAAAGTGAGAGCTGCTCTCCTTTCTTGTCCTGTTTCTACTATTGGGTCTTTGATGAAAACTGGAGGGCCATGAACCGAACACTCATCAATGAAGAATGTCAGGCAAATCTCACAAACTAGAAGAGGAAGAGAAACAGAACACTGACTCCATCAGTTAATTTCTCTGCTCCATCTCCCCTAGCCCCTGTCTGCATACCAGACCATTAACTCCATCACACAGGCCCTAGTGCACACAGGCGGCTAGGTGACATACTAGGTAGCTGCTCTCCAGCTGTTGCACGTTGGCTGAGTTGAAGAGTCTGAAGTTTTTCCTCATACCAGAGGCACATTTTCAGAGAATTTCTGTCAAGTGGTATATTGCCTCCAGCAAGCACTCAGTGGAAAGTGGACACTGCAGCCTGTTTAGCTATGCAGGTTGCTGTGAACATGTCACACAATGCTTAGCTCTCTGCACTGGCTCCTTATTGAATAGAGAGTCCAATTCCAGGTCTCTCCTCATATTAAGAGCCCTCCATGGGAGAGTTACGTTCCATCAGAACAATTAAACTCTTGACCAAGAGGAGAGTTTCATGAGTGCGGGAGACAGAACCATCACAGGAGCTAGGCCAGGACTATGGAACTTTGCCACAAGAGATAAGGGTGACTTTCAGAATTAAATGCAAAACTTACATCTCAAACCACCCCTCCCCCCCGCTATTTCTCCTGCATGATTAAAAGGAATAAAGAGATACAGACTATTATTCCTATTCATAAATAGTTTTGAGGTGCTCAGATACTATAGTGTGAGGGAGCATATAAGGAAAAACATTTGGGGCTCAAAGAGGAATACTGAAAGAAATTATGCGACTTACATAAATAATCATCATCTTGTGGTTCATTTATTTCAACGTACACTTTTTTCTCTCTCTTTCGTAAGCTGTATGTGTTAACTTGGGTGCTCTGCCCCTGGGTTTTAGAAACTGCTAACCTGGGTAGATCTAAAGGGGAATTATACTGGGTAGGTTAGTCTGTCTAGTACCAGAACTGATGGAAATAAATAGGCAATGGCATTTTCAGGCCTAAATCTCATTTATATGGAGGCTGTTTTACACAGCAAAGTGGCTACAGAATATGTAAGAATCAGGCCCCTTGCACATGAAAACATACATAAATATGAGCCATACCACAGTTTCTAGGAGCTGAACACTGAAAACCACGACTGACTCTGACACTTTCTGACTATAATTGATTAAGCAGTGACATTGTCTCCTTAAATCTGTGTCTAGCTCCCTGTCCTCTGCTCTCAGTGCCCACAGCCTCAGATGGGCTGGTATGCGAGAATTGAGACCCAAGCAAAACAGCAATACGAGGCCAGTGCGTGTCGTGATGACCATGCTTCACATGGCCAAGATGGACTCAAGCCAGGTTAGACGTCTAGTGCTGGTTTCCTATGGCAACAACAGGAGTGCCATGGAGGCTCACCCTGCCTTGCGTCACCCAACAGTACCCTAAGCAACCAGTTAAAGACCAGCAGGACAGGGATTTGAAGGGAATCCCATCGTGTTGGTGGCTGTGAGCTTACGTGCTGAAGGGAAAAGCAGCAGTAAGACTAACTGTGGTATTGAATTAGACTTCACTATAATGAGAGATATTTCCATGTTTCTACAGATAATGAGAATTACATGTCCCACTAGAGCACCTCCCACCAAATCTCATAGGCTGCAGACCTAATAGTCCTCAGAGCTACCATGAAAATACAGAGGAGATTTCCCCACGTTCTGGGCTTACCAGTTTTCAGATCAACAACATTAGTGACAGGGATTCTGGTGCCTACATCGGAATTTTTGTCCAATTTCTCAGTGTCTGTCTGATTCTCAGAGGCCTTCTCCAGCACTGTCTTTTCATTCTGCACACAAAGTTGTTTTCCATTATAATAAGCATACTGTTCTGGTTCTCTCTACCCAGAGCTTGTCACGTGGAGAAACTAACATACAAAAGACTACAAGGAGCAGATGGCTATGTAAAACTAGGTTGACCACCACAGCAATGGAGTACCTTCGCCAGGTCAGACATGGCATAGCAGTTCTCCCCAAATAGCACCCCCTGCTGAAAGTTGCTCCATCACCGCAGCGATCTCTCTTCCCATAACTTGGCCTTCTTGCCAGGTCACAATTTAGTCCACCCTTCCAGGGTAACAGAAAGCCCAACATCCTCACCAAAGGGTCTTTGGGCCGCCAACATGAGCCCTCTGGTCCTCACATCTTTTCCTCAAAGTTTTCTAATGTCCTTGTCCCCTTCTCTGGGCTCATGACACCTTGCCAGTGGCTGATAGGGGAGCCTAGGCCCTCCCACTACACCAGGTCCCAGCCCAGGAACCTTTAGCCCAGGGGTGGGGAAAAGACGGTTACTCACCGTTGTAACTGTTGTTCTTCGAGATGTGTTGCTCATATCCATTCCAATTAGGGGTGTGCGCGCGCCGCGTGCACGATCGCCGGAGAATTTTCTACCCTAGCAACACCGGCGGGTCGGCTGTGGAGCCCCCTAGAGTGGCGCCTTCATGGCGCTGGATATATACCCCAGCCGACCCGGCGCCCCCTCAGTTCCTTCTTGCCGGCTACTCCGACAGTGGGGAAGGGGGGTGGGTTTGGAATGGATATGAGCAACACATCTCGAAGAACAACAGTTACAACGGTGAGTAACCATCTTTTCTTCTTCGAGTGCTTGCTCATATCCATTCCAATTAGGTGACTCCCAAGCCTTACCTAGGTGGTGGGGTCGGAGTGAGACATTGCTGTGTGCAAAACCGCTGATCCGAATGCAGCATCGTCCCTGGACTGCTGTACCTGTGCATAGTGAGCTGCAAATGTGTGGACTGATGACCAAACTGCAGCTCTACAAATGTCCTGGATCGGGACTTGAGCCAGGAAGGCAGTCGAGGAAGCTTGGGCCCTCGTGGAGTGAGCGGTGAGGTGCGGCGTCGGGACGCAGGCCAGGTCATAGCAAGCCCGAATGCAAGACATGATCCAAGAGGACAGGCATTGTGAGGAGACCGGTAAGCCTTTCATCCGGTCGGCCACTGCAACGAAGAGTTGCGTCGTCTTTCTAAACTGCTTCGTGCGATCAATATAGAAAGCCAGGGCCCTGCGTACGTCCAAAGAATGCAAACGCTGGTCTTGGCGAGTAGTGTGTGGCTTAGGATGGAAGACCGGGAGAAATATATCCTGGTTCGCGTGAAACGGTGAGACCACCTTGGGAAGAAAGGCAGGATGTGGGCGAAGCTGCACTTTGTCCTTATGGAAAACCGTGTATGGGGGCTCGGACGTAAGCGCCCTAAGTTCAGAAACGCGCCTCGCTGAGGTGATGGCCACAAGGAAGGCTGTCTTCCAGGATAGGTACAGGAGTGAACAGGTAGCCAGTGGCTCGAATGGGGGCCCTGTGAGCTTGGAGAGAACCAGGTTGAGATCCCACGTCGGAATGGGCTGACGTTGTTGTGGGTACATCCGGTCTAAGCCCTTGAGGAATCTAACGACCATCGGGTTAGAGAATACCGAGGAAGCGAGTTCTCCTGGGTGGAAGGCCGAAATTGCGGCGAGGTGAACTCTGATGGAAGATATCGCCAAGCCCTGCTGTTTTAGGGATAGGAGATATTCCAGTATGAGAGGAATAGGCGCCTGTAACGGGGACTTGGCTCGTTGTTCGCACCAACAGGAGAACCGCTTCCACTTGGCTAAGTAAGTGGTCCGTGTCGAAGGTTTCCTACTGCCCAGCAGAATCTGTTGGACAGACTGCGAGCATTGTCGCTCCGCCTGGATCAGCCGTAGAGCAACCACGCCGTGAGGTGGAGTGATTGTAGGTCGGGGTGACATAGTCGGCCGTGGTCCTGAGAGATGAGATCTGGACACAACGGAAGTGGGATCGGTGTTTGAATCGAGAGCTCCAGCAGTGTGGTGTACCAGTGCTGCCTCGGCCAAGCTGGAGCGACTAGAATTACTCATGCCTGGTCTCTGCGCAATTTGAGCAGCACCTTGTGGACCAGAGGAAATGGAGGGAAAGCGTAAAACAGGTGGTCTTTCCAAGGTAGAAGAAATGTGTCCGACAGAGAGTCCAGAGCTCGCCCTTGTAGGGAGCAGAACACGTGGCACTTCCTGTTGGCTCGAGATGCAAACAGGTCTACCTGGGGAAATCCCCACCTCTGGAAAACGGAATAGATGATGTCTGGGCGAATTGACCACTCGTGCGTCTGAAAGGACCTGCTGAGTCAGTCCGCTAGTGTGTTCTGGACTCCAGGAAGAAACGATGCTGTGAGATGAATCGAGTGGGCGATGCAGAAGTCCCACAGGCGAATGGCCTCTTGGCATAGAAGCGACGAACGTGCTCCTCCTTGCTTGTTGATGTAAAACATGGCCGTGGTGTTGTCGGTGAGAACTAACACACAGCGGCCACGTAGGAGATTGAGAAATGCCTGGCAAGCCAGGCGCACCCGCCATTAGCTCTCGAATATTGATGTGCAGGGCTAGTTGGGGTGCGGTCCACAGGCCCTGGGTATGGTGTTCGCCGAGATGGGCACCCCAACCCAGAGATGAAGCGTCTGTGACCAGGTGCAGAGAGGGTTGCAGGGCGTGAAACGGCACTCCCTCGCAAACCACACTGTGATCCAACCACCAGGTGAGGGAGGCCGAGACCGAGTTCGGAACAGTGATCACCATGTTCAGGCTGTCCCGATACGGGCGGTATACCGATGATACCCAGGCCTGAAGTGGGCGAAGCCAAAGTCTGGCATGCCTGGTTATGTACGTGCAAGAGGCCATGTGACCCAACAGGGCGAGGCACGTCCTCATTGTGGTAATCAGGAAGGCCCTGAGCCCTCGAATGAGACTTGTGATGGTATGAAAGCGATTGTCTGGTAGAATAGCTCATGCACGTCTGGAGTCTAGGACTGCCCCAATAAATTCTATCCTCTGGGTAGGCTCTAGAGTGGATTTCTCCTTGTTGAGTAGAATGCCCAACTCGTGGAATGTGTGTACTATTATGCAGACGTGAGCTTGAACTTGCTCCCTGGTGCAGCTGCGTACCAGCCAGTCGTCTAAGTACGGGAACACCTGTATCCCTTGCCGACGAAGGTATGCTGCCATGACAGCCATACATTTTGTGAACACCCTTGGGGCCGAGGATAAGCCGAAGGGAAGGACTGCAAATTGGTAGTGCACCTTGTTTACCACGAATCGCAGGAAGCGCCTGTGAGGCGGGTAGATTGCTATATGAAAATATGCATCCTTCATGTCGAGGGCGGCGAACCAGTCTCCAGGATCCAGGGAAGGGATAATGGTCCCAATGAGACCATGCGGAACTTCAACTTTACTATGAATTTGTTGAGTCCGCGTAAGTCTAAGATGGGTCGCAGACCCCCTTTGGACTTGGGGATCAGGAAGTAGCGGGAATAAAACCCCCTGCCCCTTAATTCTAGTGGAACCTTCTCTATGGCCCCCATAGACAGGAGAGTAAAAACCTCCTGTGTAAGAAGTTGCTCGTGAGAAGGGTCCCTGAAGAGGGACGGGGAGGGGGGTGGGAGGGAGGGAACGAAGAAAACTGGAGAGCGTATCCCATCTCCACCGTGCGAAGGACCCAACGGTCCGAGGTTATAAGGGACCAAGCACGGTGGAAATGGGAGAGGCGATCCCGAAAGGAGGGGGCTAGATCCTGGGTGATGACTGGGGCGCCGTCCTCGACCGCACCTTCAAAAGTTCTGCCTGGGGCCTGAAGGTGGCCTAGGTGGCCCCTGGTTCTGACCGGGTTGAGGGCCAGTCACCCTTCTCCTACCACCTCGTCCCCGCCTTCTGGCGGAGTCCTGTCTCGGATGAGGC